CCCTCCCACCCAGGCCCCGCCCCCTCGCCTCAATGAGCTCTTCTTTGGACGTGAACTCTGAAACCACAACGCTCTCTCCATCGGTGAACCGGGTGAGGCTCACGTGCAGCCTCCCGGTGGCTGCCTTGTAGGAGTCCTCGGGCAGGGCCTGGTACAGAAACTGCCGCATCATCTGCACCATCTTGCAGGAGGGGGCCAGGGGCCCCAGGAAGGATTTCTTCACCTCGGCCACACCCACGTTGAGGACTCTGAGGTACTCATCTGCGGAGGAGACAGAGAGGAGGGGCGGTCAGCGGCTAGTGGCCAAGAGACCGACAGGATTCTCCATCTCATCCTGCGCCCAACAAATGGAAGACCTAGAATTCCGAAGCAGGGAGGCTCAGGAGCCCACCTGTCACTCTGGCCGGGAGAAAAGCAAGGCCCGAAGAATTAAGCCACTGGCTCCAGAGGTCCTACAGCTAGTCAATGGCAGGAGTGCACCCAGGCATCCCGACTCCGCTCACATTGAGGCAAAGGACCACTTTCCTAGCCCAAACAGCTCTCCCCAGCTTCCCGTCACCATGCCTGGCTGTCTGCCACCAGACTGCATTCTTCTGGAGTCTTAGAAACTTTATGTCCCAGGTGAGATTCCCATCAGAACACTGACAGAGTTCCCAGGCCGGGCGTGGCTCTGGGGTTGAGTATCGACCTAGGATCCAGGAGATCCCGGTTCCATCCCCAGCAGGGGGCATACAGGAGGCAGCCGATCAATGACTCTCATCATTGGTGTTTCTCTCTCTCTCCCTTCCTCTCTCAGAAATCAATAAAGATATATTAAAACAACAACAACAAAAAAGCCACTGACCCAGTTGAAAGCCTTCACCAAGGGACACCCTGGGGCATAGGCTTAGTGCCTGCTAAATCTGTGTGCAGGGAGGGGGTGCTGGCGCTGAGGCAGATGAATTACAGGGAGGGGTGAATTTTTCCTGAAACCATGGCATCATTTCCCTTTCTGGCCTCTGGAACAGGCCCAAGGGGGAGAAGGCCCCGAACCAGGGAAGACAGCTGTGCCAGGGTGTGCTGCAGGCGCCCCAGGAAGGGGAGACAACATTCTACTTCCTTTTGAGAGGAGCCCAGCCAGGGCACAGGTGCCAGGTGGGGCTCAGAGGGCAGATGCGTTGTTTGGGGGGTGGTAGAGGAGGGTGTAACCTGCCCCCTCCAATCCCCAGAATCCCACCGGGAAGTTTGAGCTGTAAGCTTGCTAAGAGGTGACATCATGCTTGATCCACAGCAATACTATGAGGCAGGCATTTCTCTCCTCGCTCTACTGGTCAGGAAACTGAGGCTTGGAGGGGTAATATAACTTGCCCAAGGTCAACTATCTGGTAAGTGGACAAAGTGGGATTTGAACCTAGAGTGTGTGACCCATACTCCTTGTGCTAAACTAAGCTGCAAACTTCCGGAGCCTGTCCTGTACCTGGTTCCTACCGATTGCTGCTAATTTCTACTGTGTGGAAACTCTCTGGGAAATCAGAAGTGGAAATGGCTCTGAAAAGGACTGCAAAAGTTTTAAAACAAATATTTAATCATGCAACATCCTATACAGGATGATTGCTTTCTTACAATCAGTATCATGTAGCAGTGGCTTTTTGGGAAGTTGTGCAGTCATAAGCTCTCTGCCACTAGAGGTAATCAAGCAGAGGCAGGACAAGTACCTCAGTTAGAGAACTTATCAAAGGGATTCCTGGGTGGGCAGTTAGGGCTAAGATTCCTTCTGATTTTGAGATTCTGGGATCTTCATGGGAGCCCGACAAGATATCTGGGAAGTTATCACATCGAATCTTGTTTTCTATTTACAAATAGAGCAGCTGAGGCACAGAGAGGTTAAGTGATTTGCCCAGAGTCACATATAGCAATCTGGGGCCAAACCAAAGCTAGTAGTGGTCTACTCCCCTTGCGTTTTATAGTTCACAGGTAATTCCTCGCTTTCGCATCATTTTCTAGGTATAGAAACCGAGTCAGAGAAATGTTAAGTGTCCTTCCTGAGGTGAGGCAGCCAGTTTGCCCTGACTCCCACCCCACCTTTTTTCCCTGGGTGTCGGACTGATTTCAGAAGCTGAGCGAGCCTGGGTTGCCATGGTGACAGCCTTTTCTCACCAACATTTAGAATCACAGCTGCATGTATATGTGTAGTAGGGACTGACCTGAGTGGTGGAGCATCTTAGCTGTCACCCCTCAGAGGGGAGGGTGCTCCTGGGAGGTGGGAAGGCCCTGCAGTCTTAGCGAGGTTAGCTTTGCCGGGTGCCAGCTTGTACAAACAGCATTTTCCCTGAAGGGAGAGCGGCGGCCAACCCAGCAGCAGGTTATGAAACAACTGGGCATTTGGATGCCAAGGTGTTGGGTCACTGAGTTCTCAACTACAAGGCCGGCTGGGGTGGGGAGTCAAACCAGGGTGGGGACACGCTGTTCTTGGAATTCTTTAATATTCACCAAGTATATGTTTTTATTGATCTTAGAGAGAGAGAGAGAGACAGAAACATCCATGTGAGAGAGAAACATCGATCGGTTGCCTCCTGCATGCTCCCCGACTGGGGACTGAACCTGCAACCTGGGTATTTGCCCTGACCAGGAATCGAACCTGCAACCTTTCGGTGACTCTTCAACCAACTGAGCCACCCGGCCAAGGCTATTTGTGGAATTCTTAGTAAGCAACAGGAAGTGGTCACAAAAGGGTTGGTGGTCTTTCCCACAAGGCCTGGGAGCCAGGAGCACCTGGTTCAGCTTGCCCAAGCACCCCTGGACTCCCCGCAGGGGGAGCTCGCTGGGACCGATGGAAGGAAATTTGTTCTTATTGCACAAGAAATACATGTTCATTGTGAAAGAAAATTTGCTTTAAATGCAGATAAGCAAAAAGAAAAAATTTAAAATGACTTGGAATCCCTCCACCCAGAGGTTAACATTTATTTGGTTTATGTCTTCCCAAACCATGTATTTTATATTTATTCTTACTTACAAAATGCTTTTAAGGAGTCAATCTAATTACACTATTTTGTAACTTGCTTTTTTCACCCAATAAATCACGTCTTTCCCATCAGTAAGTACCCACTTATAGCCTAATTTACAAGCAGCATGGGAAGCTACTGTAAGGTTACAAGATTATTTACTGGGCGGGTGCCCAAAAGGGGTCGGCTATTTAGTTTGTCTCTTTGCTTTTATAAACAATGCTACAATTAATAATCTCATGCTAAACTCTTTGCTTGTGTCCTTCCTTATTTTCCTTGGCATGGAAATAGAGGTGGGGATGCTGGGTCAGAGGCATGTGTGTATTTAGTCTTGTAATATCTATTTTAATCATGGCTTTTGTATATTGTCGATTTACAATCAACTCAGCTAGTCAGGGGTGGTAGTGGAGCAGTGCCCAAGATAATAGAAATAGTTTGGACATCTCCAATATACTGACATCTGAAAACAGTGCTATCTGGAAAGTAGCAATGCTCTAGCCAGAATCATATAGCCGGGGGTAGGGGACAGAAGATTGTCTGATTTCTCCCACTCAGGTGCCCAATTTAATATCCTTTCCTGCTGCTCACAGGGGATGCGTACCAAAGGATGCCTTTATCTCTCTTTCTCTTTGCTTCTCTTCAGGTCTCTGTCTGTGTGTCTCTGTCTTTGGAGCCTCCCCTGCCCCCTCCCCCCATCTCCTTCTCTCTCTCTCTTTTCCTAACAAGTCTCTGTTGGTAGAAAGTCAAGTGCTAAGCATAGCAATTGCTGGGAGCTGCGAGGAGGGATACATTTAGCTTGCTTCTTTATGCATCTCTGCACTTTCCAGCACCTTCTCCCGTTTAAAGGCCCCCTTCCAAGCTTCAGGCTGCTGGGCTCCGAGACACAGTGTCCCACACTGACCACAGCAAGGCAGGATTTAAAAGCAGCACAGGAGGAAACTCAAGGTTGGCTGCTCCCACCCCCAGCCCACATTCTCCAATTCCTTTCACAACTTTGGGTGAAAGCATCTAAGGGTGGTGTTTGTCTCCAGAGCCCAGAAGGCGATTCTCTGAGGGCTGGTCCTTGTGGTCCTCCTCTCCCTCTGTGGCCTATCATGGTGCGTTAGCCATAGAAGGCCCTTCAGAAGCCTTTGCTATAAGCTGGGAACTCCTCCAGGGCAGGGATGGGCCATGCTCCCCCACGATACTTAGTGGGTGCTCAGTGTTTGTTCAGAGTGTGAACAAAGGCAAATAAAAACCTGACAGGAAGGAAAAGCAAATGATAAGCATGCTCACAAGAAGAGCTACTTGACTTAATTTCCCAATAAAAGCTTGAAGGCAAGATCACCCCAAACAGATAGATACTAGAGTTAACTATATTGGTAAGTGTGGCTAATTCACCAGGTTCTATGACTCTATAGTGCTAAAAACTCCAATAGAAAATAAATAAGATCCTGGCACTGGGAGGCTTTGAGGCCATTTGGAAGCTACTCCAAATCTCAGCCACTCATGGAGTCTTTTACTCTTTTCTGTGACCAGATCCATTTCTTGGAAAGAGGTCAGGCTTTGGAGCCAGACAGATTTGGTTCCAATCCCAGCTTTGCCACATACTATTTGGGCCATCACTGGCAAGTCACATAACTTCTTCCAGCCTCAATTTGCCACCTATAAAATGGGACCAATAATATTTACCTTACCGGGCTGTTACAAGGCAGTAGTTTTGAAAGTGCCTGCACACAGCAAGTGCTCAATATCAGTATGCCGGTCATTCCCAGGTGACCATGGCAAAGCCCCCTTCATGTTCCTGCCTCTCCGCTTTCTCATCTGAACAGGGGGCAATGGTCCCTGCCCCACGCCTTATCGGGTGTGCTCAGGCTCACGTGTGTGTGCAGAAGAGCAGAGGAAAAGCACGGTAGAGAGGAGGGTGTGCACCTCTGTTTCCGAGCGTGGGCAGGGCTGGCGAGAGGTCGTACAGGCACGGTGGCCTGCGGCACTCCTCCCTGTCACCTAGGGGGCCCTACAGATCTGGTAGGAAAAAGGGGGACTGAAAATTCATTGAAGGGGAGGGATAGGGGTAATATTTATTTTCTTTATTTGCTTAAGTGCCTAAAGTTTCCCCCTTTGTGAGAGCAAGGATGGTCTCTGTGTCATTCGTCCCTTTGTCCCTAGCACCTGATACAGGGCCTGGAATAGGACAGGCATCTAATAAACATGAATGCACACATGAATAATGAATAAATGGATGAACCCCAGCCACGGGAGGAGGACACCGAGGGCCAGACAGAGCAGCAGCTATTCAAG